ATTTCTATATCAATTCTATCGCAAGACTGTCGCGATCCTTGGTTTTTCCTTCAATCCTTGTTTTTTGGGAAAATGTATATAGAGAGAGGGTTGGAGGGACCAATGGTCGCGTTGGAGCGTGGTCTCAAAGGATGGGCCCTCGCGGAATCACATCGCAGCGCGTGAAGGTCAGGATCTTCGCGCTTGCTCCTACGGTGATCCATCGTATAGCGTGCAAATGTGACTCGTGATGTGGCCGTTGCTATGACACTTTTGTTTAAATTAGAGATCTGGAAAATGTTAGGAAAACCATGCCCGCTTATAAATTGTTAGCTTGACGTATTCGAACTATAGAAAACACAGGCCAGATTACCCGATTACTGCTTCACAAATCCTTAATAAAAATATTATAATTCATAATACAATAAAAATAAGAATTAAAAATGTTTATAAATATTCTATAATAAAAAAAAATTCTAAAAAAGAAAAAATAAATATATCCTAAAAAATTAAAAAACATAAAATTAGTTTTAAAATTCTTATAATATCAAAAATTAATTTTATAAAAACCACCTTTTGTGTATTAAATCTTAGAAGATTAGGAGCAAAATTTTTTTACTACTATAAAATAATTATAATATATACAAATTGATCATTTCATTCTAAAAAAATATTAACTTAGTATAAAAATCTCCAAAAGAATTTGAATTCTTTAATAATTATTCTATTTAATTTAAAAGCTTATCTAATTTAATAATCAAACAGATATAGGATCTTTAAATATAAAAATAAATTGTTAACATTTAAACAAAGGTCAATGTATAAAAAAATGATTATTTTTTATAATATAAAATATATTTATTCTTATAAATTATTTCTTATTTCATCATGTTTTTGTCTTCCTAACAAAGATATAAATAATTATACTATATTCATATATTAATAATAATATAGACTTCTTGTTCAAACAATTTTTCTACGGAAAAAAATTCGTTATCTTTCAATTTTTAAATTTAAACTCTTGTTTAAAAGTATTTAATAAAAAAGTTTATAATAAAAAAAGAATTAATGGTATGTAATCGAAATAATATATTATATATAATATATTAAATTATTT